ATGAAATTAAGCAGAAAAGGAAGTTAATAAAACAAGATTTGAATCCGGCTGTGTATATGTATAAATGCAATTTAGATAACAAGTGCGGATAAGGTCAAAAAATATGATATTATATGCACACAAACTGCCCAACGAAAAGAAATAACTGGAATTCCCACACAATGCCATTAATACAATGGGTGGGAAAACAATTAAATTTAATAACCGTAAGTTAATCCACTTAGCAGGAAAGCAGATTGATTCCCCACACTTTGCATCCCCTAACGACACTCAGAAGAGGTTTACCCCCCGCTGGCGAAGTTTTACATCCCCGCTGCAAGCTCGAGTGCATCCCACGCCAAGTAAACTTCCCTCCCAGCAACATTCTGAAACTCTAATTTAATAAGTAAATCACATTTCCGCCTTTTGAATGTCACCGTCACCAAACCAGAACTCCCAGGGAGTTGGGAGTTGGGTTGGTTAGGAGTTGGGAGGGCGGAACCCGGAACTCCAGGCTCCCATCGCTCGGTTTTCCCGGCTAACAGTTCCCAGTTTCCCGGGGCATCGCATTGACACCTCGTCAGAAGTTGGCAAGACATCGCCCCGGCGACTTGCTAACTGGTTTAGTGCAAATTCACTATTAGGAGAGCGCTCAATTTCACACTGGAATTAAATTACAGCGCATGCCGATGCGCCAGGTAGGCGTTGAAAACCCGCATCAACTTTAAGGGGGGGGGGGGGGCTGGAAGATCAGAGTTTGTGGCGGGTGCCCAACGCCGTGGCAAATGAGCGAACACCTCGTTAGTTTGTGCGCCTCGAAACTTTTTTAATATTTACATTCATATTTTGCACCTTTCGCCTTTTTAACCGCTTTTTCACGCCCTTTCCAAAATCGCGGGGCCTTCTTTTATTGCAACTTCTGCATCCTGCAGCATCCTGACTGCTGGATGGACCAAGGCTGCTGCCGAGCCATAAATTTTTGTTTGTGTTGAAAATTGCATTTGCCTTTTACTTTGTGTCGAGGCTGAGCCAGGGATCACGAATTGGTGGCCAAAAGAGGGGGGTACACAGAAAAAAAAAAAGTTTTTTGGTACAGTCATACAATTATGATAATCATTGGAGTCATCTAAGTTATATGATGTAGCATTTCTTATTAAAAACGTAAGCTTAAGAATATGAGTGTATAAATATCAGAACCTTACAATAATGCATATTTGTTAAAGAAAATATTCACAATATGTTTATTCTAATTTATAGACCATCAATAATTCATTAAATCAATTAAGGCAAAAATTTCCTATAAATCAGCGATATCAATTAAGCATTTAAAATCATAATACAGTTTTAAAACGTTCCCTTTTATAAGAAACATTCTTAACTGTACCATGTATTTTCTTAAATCCCATCCTATTTCTCTAAGTGTAGTGCAAAGCTGTGTTGGTGAGATTGAGCTTGCCCGGCAGCCATATTGGATGCCCCTAAAAGCAGGCAACGTCAAATTTGTTGCAACGCTTGATAATCAAGTTAGCGCTGCGCCCATCATAGCATCAAGCCCACCTCCCTTTTGGCCCCCATAACAAACCCCCCCCCCCCCCCCTGTTGCAGACCAACCCCCCTCCCCCCACCTTTTAGTGCACTCAAATTGAACAGCCTTTTGTGCTCGATTCTTCGACTTTTTTTCCGCTTTATCGCGATATAAATTTAAACCGATGATTCCGCTTCGGACGGGGATTGTGATTCCGATTCAGATTCTGATGTTTTGCTCGCATTTCTTGTTTACTTGCAGATGTCAATGGGCGTGGCAGTGGGACGCGAGGCGAGCCAGCTGAAAATCAAAGCCCAATTGGCACAAACACGCGGTAAATAGAATTCGCAATCGGAATCGGAATTGAAATAGGAATTCGCATTCAAATTCAAATGCAAATAGAAAATAGAAATTGCCACGAGACCCCCACAGAAATATACAAAAAAAAATCGAGAAAAAATATAGCAACTAAAATACCCATAAAATAATAGGAAAACAAAGAGTGCCAGGAGAAACAGCTGCTGCAGCAAATAAAAGAACCGCAACAGCAGCAGCAGTAGCAACAACAGCACTAACAACTCCACCAGCAACAACAGCATCAACAACAAAATGGAGAAGCTGCTGCAATCGACGCTGTTTGTCATCCTGATAATGGCCACAAAATGCGGCAGTGGCTCGACCCAGAACCAGCATCACGGTAAGTGGGCGGCAGGAGGGGGCTTTAATTGCGAGCGGGGGCTGCATTCACTACATATCCGTTGGCCACTCCTTTCGCAGAGAGCAATTCCCAACTGGATCCCGATCCGGAGTTCATCGGGTTCATCAACAATGTCACATATCCGGCAGGACGCGAGGCCATCTTGGCCTGCTCGGTGCGCAATCTGGGCAAGAATAAGGTGAGCCTTGGGAATTTTGACGGAAGAGGATTTAAACAACCCCTTTTTAACTGGGGTGTTTTAAAGCTTTAAAAATGAAGGTATTATAAAACCATTAACATGTAATCCCTTTTTTCAGGTTGGCTGGCTGAGAGCCTCCGATCAGACGGTATTGGCTCTACAAGGTAGAGTGGTTACCCACAATGCGAGAATCAGCGTGATGCACCAAGATATGCACACGTAGTTAAGAAAAATAACTTTATAAGAGATTTATAACATAATATATTATATATATTATTTAGATGGAAACTAAGATCAGCAAACTGCGCGAAAGTGATAGAGGTTGCTATATGTGCCAAATAAACACGAGTCCCATGAAGAAACAAGTGGGCTGCATCGATGTGCAGGGTAGCCCTTTAAACCTAATTTCTAGATGCCATCTTAACTAAATATACCCCTTTTATTTATAGTTCCACCAGATATCATAATGAAGAGTCATCCGCTGATTTGCCGTTCAGAAGGCGAGGATGCCACGCTCACCTGCAAAGCCACGGGGAATCCCTGCCGAGAGTCATCTGGCGCAGGGAAGACGGCGAAATGATTCTTATTCGCAACCAGGCAGTCGAGAGCTCATGAAAGGTAATTAAATAAATACTACTTTATAAAAATTATATTTTATTTTTTTTATTATACTTTATAGTGGAATCCTACAATGGATCCTCACTAAGGCTACTTCGTCTGGAAAGGCGTCAGATGGGAGCCTACTTATGTATAGCTTCAAACGATGTTCCACCTGCTGTCAGCAAACGAGTTTCGCTGAGTGTGCAATGTGAGTTATAAAATATGTAATTTATAAATAGAATGTTAATTCAAAAAGGCAGGATCTACATTTGTTATAAAACTAGCTTGGTAAATTAAGAAGAACTGAACTTAAATAGGTTTCAAAAATGTTTGCATAAGAAACGAAAATGTCTATTCAAAATTATTTTTATACAATACAAGATTCAAGTTAATCATTTTTAAATATTACAAAATCTTAAGGTAGACAGCAGAAATCTATTTCATGTTCCTCTTTAAAGTTTCATTAATACGAATAATAAATTTAAAAGTCAGTGTGCTGGACAATGGCACAATTTCATGAGAATAAGAATAATAAATGTATTTATTTGTGCTTTCCTGCGAAATCAATGAAATCCGACCATTCACTCACTCGACTCACCAACGATTCCACTCCCCAGTTGCTCCCATGGTGAGGGCCCCCAGCCAACTGCTGGGCACGCCCCTGGGATCTGATGTGCAGCTGGAATGCCAGGTGAGGCCTCCCCATCGCCCGTCTCCTACTGGCTGAAGGGGGCGCGAACGTCCAACGGATTCGCCAGCGTCTCCACGGCCAGCCTCGAGTCCGGCTCGCCGGGCCCCGAAATGCTGCTCGACGGGTAAGTTCGGGGAATTCCGTACGCCAGACATCAGTGATACATATCCATCTCGAAACCATTCCATTCCATTCCATTCCTTACCCTTACTTGCCTTTACATTCTGGACCCATATCCAATGCAGGCCCAAGTACGGGATAACGGAGCGGCGCGATGGCTATCGGGGCGTCATGCTGCTGGTGGTGCGTTCCTTCTCGCCCTCCGATGTGGGCACCTATCACTGCGTCAGCACAAACTCGCTGGGCCGTGCCGAGGGCACATTGCGGTTATACGGTGCGTATACGCAATCTCTGCTCCGCCATCTCTCGTTCACTGGCTTTAATTTGTTTTGTTTGTCCATGTTGTTTTTTTCTTCCGGGGCATGTGGTTTTGTGTTGCAGAAATCAAGCTTCATCCGGGCGCCTCGGCCAGCAACGATGATCATCTGAACTACATCGGAGGTGAGTTTTGAGAACCTCTCCTGTTTTTCAACAAAGAAATTTAATATTTAAATATTATAAACAACATTTAAATCAATTGATTTTAAACTTGAATATATTTGATTGGTTATTGCCACAGGTCTCGAGGAGGCGGCTCGGAATGCGGCCAGTAGCAACCAGACGACGTGGCAGCCCCTGCTCGCCATGCTGATGCTTCTGTGGATGAGGCTGACACTGAGGGCCGGGGTAGCGTGATATCAAAACTGAGAGAAGAAGAGCCGGCAATCAAGTATTCCTACAGATTCCCTCGGACACCGACATCGACATCTCTCTCTCTCGCCTGCGTTCTTGTTGTTCGTTTCCGTTTCCGGTTCCGTCTACCCCATACCCACATCATCAACTTATCGGTCCCCGGCCGCCCACGCACTCATACATATTGCCGGAGGCGCCTCCCGCTGCCTCAGATATCATTTGCATACGTATCAGGAAACGCGTTGTTCCCACCCGCTGAACACCCCAAACCCTTTGCCAAATCCCAATCCAAATCCCGCTCCCTAATGAAACTAAAGAGGATATCAAAAGTGGACAATTGGCTGCCAAAACCCTACCATTTCCCCCAGCCCCGAATAATGTTACATTGCATATAAATTAAATATGAATACTATAAAATAGTGCATAAAATTTATTATCATAATATAAATAACGACAAAATTATTGAATAAATTATCGCAAAAGTGGAAAAAAAACCGAATGGAAAATCGCTTTTTCTTCACTTCCGACAGGGTTTCCTGCGCCACTGGCCTGACCCACTGATCCATTTTCTGGCCACTGTTTTCCGGTTGGTACAAGTAGGTGGTAAGTAGGGGAGAAAGAATCGATGAGGGACCTTAATGACTTACCCCACTGCGTTCCAAGGAGCACCGGACAAGTGGCCTGCAAACTTCGAATGTCACAATTTCCAGAGTTGTCAATGTTTGCCAAACCAAGGCCGATCCACGACTTGGCTTAAAGCCATAACCCAGATCCGGAAAAGAGGCATGACCACCCATCTGAACCTCACTTAGCTAGGAAAGGAGTTATACGAACATTAATTTTGAAACCCATTCAATGACCTGCGGCCATTTCACTTTGGCGTTTTCAAAACAGTCACGTTTATGATTTTTGGGAGAGGTCTATTTTTGGCTTTCGGTATTATTTGGCTAACACTTTTTTTGTTATCTTTTTTATATCTTTCTTAAATATAAAGATAAACACTTACATAAAACAGCACAGTGGCCGTGCGATATTCCGGAATTAATGGTTCAACGAATTCCTAGAACAAAAACACTATCTACAAACCTTATAGTATAGATTAGATTATAAAATTACCTTCGGCTGCTCGCAGTCTAAGTGGATAAAATCCTGGCCTCCAATGCCAAAGTTGGAGACTGTTATCGGGTTGCTTTCTCCAAATTGAGTCCTGTCATATCCTCAATCCTTTGGTGAATTCGCGCTACATGATCAGAGGCATTCACCGGCACTTCAGCCTCTACGCTGGAGCTATCTACTTCCTATGTTCTAGTCTTGGTTTGAAAGGTTTATTAATCATCCTGCTCTTCGGCGTTATAAATCATGAAAGAGACCAACAAAAGGTTCAAAGTTGAGCTGCTCCATCTTAATGGAGCCAGGTGAAGAAATGGTGAACCTTCTGTAAAATAGCGACAACGGAGGGGGAATTTCTTGGTAGGAGGTTTTTCCCCGACAATTATCCAGATGCACAAACATGTGATCCAAATTTCGTTCAAATGTTGGCCAGATTGGTATTATCATCCTTGGAGGCCCACTCTATTGATTCTTAAAGGCAGTTTGACTGGCTGGCAAGTCATCTGTAAAATTTATAAAGAATAATGGTATAGATCACTTTTGCTTTTAACTAGACTTACGCATGGAAAGCAAAGTTAGGCCTAGTTTCTCATAGATTTGAGAGCGACCTGTTTGAAGTAACCTATTTACAGGATCCAAATGATCTTCATACTGGTCCAGGGAAATTCTTAGCCACTTGCATGCCTGTTTACCTTTTTTCTGATCCTCTAAATGAGTGCCCAAAGCAAGGCAATCTGCGGCACTTAAACTGGAGCTTTTTGGAGATGGAAATTAATTTATTTGAGGGCCTACGATTTTTTAGAGCTCACTTGTACTGCTTGTCAGACAATTTTCCATTGGCCATTTCGCTTGCATTCAGGCCATAAACGCCCTGAAATCGCAACAATCCGGTTGCAGCCACTTTAAGCTCCAGGGCCGTAATATCAGATATATCTCGGTTAACCAACTTTTGAAGAGGACCTGCTTAAAAACATTTTAGTTCTTAATTTGCTTGCTAAGTTATTTTGTGCTTAAGACCTTTAATTTCCTGCCGAGCAAATTCAAGCAACTTAGGAGCATCGGAGTACATTCGTCGCATGAGTGGAAAACTTATCAGGGGATTGGCCACATAGGTCGTAGGATCAGCATAACCCAGCGCTCTTCTAGTCATCCATTCTTTCTGGAAACTATAAATATGGACCTGTATTTACAACATCATTTATAATGTAAACAAATAACCTACACCCTCATTGTGTTTATTTTAAGCTGCAATTCCTCAGCATACTGGCGCATATATCCTATTAGTTCGTCTTCTATTTGTACCAGGGCTGCCATTTCCCGCGTCGATGTGGCATAGTACTTAGTTTCCATAGCTGTTGTCACTCCCATAAGGAAAATCGACAAGCAAAGGTTCCTCATTATAACTGAATGTGAACAGAGCAGAGCGCTTTCATGTGCATATTAGAAACTATGAAATTCAATTTGTTCAGGTACTACTAACGAGCGAGGAGTTTGAGTAAGTCTGTAAAGTAACTTGGGACAGACTAGCATTATTGTCCCAACAGAGCCCCAAAAGTATACAACTAACCACCAAAAATAGATTCATCTTAACATTATAATATTAGTTAATAATTAGTTAGATTTATATATTTTCCACAAACTTTCATTTCCCCCGAATTGCTGATTAATTGATAAAGTCTTTGAAATTGTTTTTTATTTAAGATTTATTTCAATTTTTAATAACTTGACAATATTGTTTTTTTTTCTTATATGCTGGTTGATCGGGTTAAATTGCAAATAATGTAATTTATAATTAATATTTATGTAATATTAAACTAACTCACAATCATTTGAATTAAGTATGTATAGTATATTCAAATATACTCTAGGGTTCATACGATGTGTGTATGGGTGGTGTGCAGCAATGTGTAAATGGGTTGATCTTTCGAAATTCGATTGAAAACGAAAACGAACAAAACAGGCCGGCGATAGTTCTACACATTTGAAAACGTATGCTAAGAGAGATGACTCTGGGCTGCTACTGAATTTACACAAAATGCGCTGCGATCGCTGAAGTGTACACAGGGCGGCATAACAATTGCTCTTTACATTTACAACCATCCGGACATTCGTGGGCGGCGCACATAATGGCTTGCATTAGCTTACAGTTCACACTCTCGAAATGGTGTATTAATTACAAATTAGTCGGCTCCCATTGCAGTGACAGGTGTACATATGGGGATGCATTCCAACTAGCGCCTTTAAGCGACTTTCTTATTTTACAACTACATTTGTATATTCCAAATTATCGGTTTTGCAGTCGGTTCAATTTGTCTCCTCTACCTCGGGGGGGTGCACAACGCAAGACATTTACAAGTAGGTTCCAGTGGTTCCGGGGAGGACGCACCGCACTATCAATATTATACACGATTTGGTTATCATTACAGAACAAAACACTGTTTGGCGGGTATGGTACAATGCACAAGCGCAAGCGTGGCGCTACACAGCTCTAAATGATGCACAGCAACAAGTGCACAAAATATTTAGGAAACAAAAGATCAAAATATGGATCAATGGATTTTTGTATAATAAACATTTATACAAGTCAAGTTCAAAAAAATTTAGAATAAAAGACTTTAGCACTTAAAGTAGGTTTGGTTTGCCGTAAAGTTGCTGGTCTACTCTACGAGGCTGGTGCAAGACGTTGCTGGACGACTGCTTCGAGTGTATGTTTGCATGAGTGAGTGCTTGATTAGCGCTGTCTGTCAACAATAACCAAATCGCTGTAATTCTCATCTGGAGAGGCTGTGCGATCGTTCGCGGCTGCTGCTGCCCGACGAGAGGGGCTGCTTGTTGCTCACTTCACCCACTCGATGGTGCGGTGGCAGCCTGTCGAAGAACGGATGACGCAGGGCTTCACCTGGAACAAATCGAATGAAAATTTATTACTATTGTAATCACTTATTAGGTCAATGCCATCTTACCTAACGTGATGCGGGACGAGGGCTCGTACTCCAGCATCTTCTTGATCAGACTGAAGAGCTCACAGTGGTCCTCGCTGTCGCTCAGCTGGCACAGGAACAACGGCTTGCAGTGATCTCGGACGTAGCGACCCGCACTGGACTTCTCATCCCAATCCAACTTACCATGATAGAAGTACTTTGTTTTGGTTTTGCTATAAAGAGTATGATTGCTACACGTTAAACGATTTCGGTGAAGGGAACTGCGCCTTGGGAAATAAAAGCATGAGCTGCATTGTATTACCGTGCCATGCGATATGGTATTTGTCCCAAGATTCGCTCCATCATGGCCAGATGCTCGCGGTTGTCGTGCGTTTGGAAGAGCGTGATTCCCAGATACAGTTCGAACAAGATGCACCTGTTGGCGGGATTTCGGCAATTATTATGCGCATACTTGATAAGGGCAGTCGCAAATCTTACCCAATGGACCAAACATCACACGGCTGTGACCACCCCAGCTCCAGTATGACCTCGGGCGCGCGGTAATGTCGCGTCGAGACAATTGTGCTGTGGTGCTCGTGGTCGAAGGTGGCCGACCCAAAGTCGATCAGACGGACGTCCGTGTTCTTGACGCGGCGCACCTCGCGGTTCTGTGAGTAAGAAAAATATAAATACGGATTTCCTTCATTACAGACTGCGGTAATACATACAATCTTATGATTATAGTGAGATGTATAATCTGAATCGACGAAGAGTATATTCTCCGGCTTGAGATCTGTGTGCGTTAAACGATTGTCATGTAGAAATTTCACAGAGTAGCATAATTGATAGGCCATGTGGCGCACTTGGTCCAACGAGTAAGGCTCATAGTTGTTCTCACGCTGTAAATAATTGATACATATTATAATTTAGGATGCACTTAGGTTAACAAGCTTCAACTCACCAAAAAATCGAAAACACTAAGCCCCAACATTTCAAAAACTATACACATGTGTCCATGATAATCAAACCAGTCTATCATTTTCACGCACAAACTGCAAAGGTAAAGGAAATATGTTATTAGGATAAGTTACAAGAGATAATATATTTATAGTCTTACTGATCGCAATGCGGATCCTTTTGGGCAATCTTTTCCAAGGCATTTATCTCCAGCTTGGCAGCTTCGCGGTACTTTTCTACGTTCTTAATAATCTTCAAGGCCATGCAGTAATCACTGAAATAATAAAAAGATATTTATAAATTGCTTTAATAATTTTCAAACATGAAACTTACCGCTCCATGTCTTTGACCTTGACCACACGTCCAAAAGTTCCCTCGCCCAGTGTGGCCATGATCTTATCTGAAATTCGGGAAAAGGATAGCGAGTTGTAGTAGGGTTTCGGACAAGTCCATTAGGAGTGTTAAACGTTAGCTGTCTGTTTTATTTTTCTTGTTCTAAAGCTAAACCTATAGCTGTAACTAAATATTGGATGAGGGCTGGGCAGAATACTAAATTTCGACTCTAAGCTGAGTGTGTTGTACGGAAAGAGTTTGCATTTTCAATATTATTTCGTTAATTATGCGACAAAGTTCGTGTTCGTTTTATGTGTGTGAAAACTTCCCAGTTGAATTTTTCGTAGTTAAGGGGAATTTTGTTTTTGCCGGTAAAAGTTAAACTTAGAGCCATCAAAGACAAATTTCGGAAGTTGAAAAGATTTTCGCGAAACTGACGAAAATGGTGTGAAATTTTTCAATTGTTGTTTTGTCCTTCTCTTTTTTTTATTCGTTCAAAATTGTCTTAATTTCCCGATTGCACGCGACGCGAATTTGGTCTTGCTGTGAGATAATTAAGAAATAATAATGAAAACTTGGAAATATTTAAACTAAAAGAGAGTTATAAGAAGAGGAGAGAAAAGTGTGACTGGTCGGCTTATGCCTCTCATTATTTTTTCTTCTTTCTTTCTTTTGTTTTCTTTAAGAGTAATTTTTCTTTTTTTTTAAGTTTTCTGATTGTTGTCTAAACATAAGTATGGAAAAATTAAAAACCAAAAATTGTCACGAACATCTGTGATGGAGAATGTCTCCGGTGTGGTAAATTAAGTGACCATCAGCATCATCTTGAATGACGGGCTTTGCTGTCTGTTCGAGCAATCGTTCGTTCGGATCGGATCGGATCGGATTGGAGCGGAGTGGAGCGATCGACGACGTAGGGTGGTTGTTGCAGTGGTTGCCGTTGCCGATGTTGCAGGTTGTTTGGAGGTGGCGTTGTTTGCGGTGGGTGGCGACGATTGCGATTGCGATTGCATGGCGGGTGGTGCATTCGATCCGTTGAAAGAGGAGGTAGAGGTAGTAGTAGGCGGGTTGCGAGCGAAACGGCGAGCGGAGAATTTGCGAGCGAGAAGTTGGGGGGCGTGGTCGTTGTCGATGGCAGTAGTTTACAGACGTACACATAAGGTGCGTGTGTGCGTGTGTGGTAAAGTATGTAATTTGAAAGAGAGAAAAAGAAACAAAAAAGAAAGAGAAAAAAGAAACAAAAATTTATATATTTTCCACGGGTTCGATCGGTTCCAGGGGTCGCAGGTCGCAGGAGCCATCATCATCATCATCAGGATCAGGTCAAGCCAATAAAAAAGCGCATCATCCAAACGATCCCACGTTGGCACCAAAAGCAATCGCATTCCGTTTATAAGTCAGCCGCAGACATCCCGTAAACCAACCAACATCATCATCATATCATCATCCCCATCAAGTTGTGTATGTACATCATCATCATCATCAACCCATCATCATCATCATTGTGATTTTCATCATCATATTCAGAAAAAACACGAGAAAAATACGTTTCGTTTGTTCGATAAGAAAATTAGTTCGGACAAATTTTTGAGATTTGTGTTTACAAAAATGGTTAATATCAAAACATGTACAAACAATATCATATATAATGGCAAATAGGTATATATCGGAAATGGTATATATAACGTATTATATATATGTTTATATATATATATATAGATAAGCACCAATAGCTGTGCTCTTGTTTCTTGGGCAATAAAAAAACAACAAACCATTAAATGCTCTTTGCTTAGTATTAACATTAATAGCTCTTTTTGGTAATAAACGTAAAATGGTAAAAGAACAAATAAAGTCGTTTTTTGCTGTATAAGTCGGAGGTAGAGGATATCTTACATTTTTTCCTAGCTTTAGTGTCAAAATCGCATGCAAAAAGCGCAGGCAGGATCAACATTGTATCAGTTAGTTAACATGGTATACAATCCGCAGTGCTGTTAGCTTTTTCTGTAGTAGGGCGACTGTCTGGGGGAGAAGATTTGGAAAGAGGGGGTCTTGAGATATGTGGTGGGTTAGGTTTTGGGGTGGGTGGGTCCATGGACAGTTGCAGTTAGAAGAGGCGGCGCCAACAAAGCTCAAGCTGCTAACGAATCTTCCATCCCCCGGATGGATAGTCGGGGTGGCTAATTGCTTACAAAGGTCGAGAGTGTCTTTGGAATGCGTGACCTGTTGAACAGGGCCGACGAGGTGGCGCTCTTGGCCAGCTGGTAGTGATCGTGCTGCAGGTAGGAAGACGAAGACTGCTGATACTGCTGTTGCTGGTAGCCATCCAGTCCAGATCGCGGGGGATACAAAGAGCTACCGCCCAGAGCATTGGACCTCCTGCTACTCCCGCTGTACGAGTCATGGAGGTAGCTCGATCCGGAGCCCGTTCCCGATCCCGGCTTATAGCGATCAAACTCGCTGAGCACGGCGGCGGTACGTGAACTGGCGCCCTGATACCGCTGCTGCTGACGCCGGGCATCAGCTGCCGCGAGACGCGCACCAATCCCGCCAAAGGCCAGTGCCCCCGAGCTGGAGGAGTGCATCAGCTGGCTGCTGGGCTTGTACTTGGCGAGGTCATTGTTGTTGCGATCTGAGTGGGGCAGAAAGCGGCTCTTGGTTGCGGTGGTGGTGCCGGAGGAGAGTGCCGTCGCTGCTGCCGTTGTGTGGTTGTTAGAAAGAGCAGAAGTGCTAGTGGATGAGGTGGTGGCTGTGTCGGAGGGGGAAGTAATTGTAGTGATGGTGGAGGTAGTGGTGCTGCCATTGACAGACGGGATCTGTGTCTGTGGGGTTGTGTTGTCGTCTGCTGTGTGGGTTAGTTGCACACCGGGCGCAGCCGAATCGGTCTCGGTTTCTGTCTCCGCCTCTTCGGAGGAGCTGCTGCCTGATGTGCTTTCGGAGGAGCCACTGCCTTCTCTAGTTACTTTTTTGCTGCGCGACTTCTTCTTGGGCGCCTCCTGCGGCGGTTCTAGTGTGACTGCTGATGATACTGCTGCAGATGCTGCAGTTGCTGCTGCAGTGGCCGCTGCTGCGGCTGCCTCCTTGGCCATTTTGGCCTCCTGCTCGAGAGCAGCTGCCTCCGCTTCTGCGGCCGCTACTGCCGCTTCAGTCTTCTTGGCCTCCTCGGCCGCCTCCTCCATGCGCTTGACGCGTTCCCTGAGCTCACGACGTTTGCGCATGCGCTCCTCAAACTTTTTGGCCTCCAAGAACTGGTTGTCTTCCCGCAGCAGCATCAGAATGGCTGCATTGTCTTCCGAGGAGCGATCGTCGGCAAGAATTTCCCGCTCTTCGGCAGTCAATTCCGGTGGTGGTTGCTCCTTGCGTCGATGAGCAAAGCGGTTCCTCGAGTTCAAGGGACGATCTTCGGCAGGTGCTGCTCCAGCATTCCGACTGCTGTCTTGGATCTCGGCGGCTAGCAGGCTTTCCACTGTTCTGGTCCTGCCATAAGCCCTTGTGGAGCGTGGCGAGAGAGCTTCATCCTCGCCAGCTCTTCGCCCGTAGCGACTGGACGGATAACCTGATGCTCCACCAAGACGCAGGGCATCATGGTAGTCGTATCGTTGGCCATAGTCCACTGGGTAATTCTCGTCCAGCAAACGATTGTTGCTGGTCAGATAGCCACTGTCATTGGACTCGGCCATATATCGTTGCCTTTGAGCTCGAGTTCTGTACGGAGTACGCTCCTTGCGATCCGAAGCATTAAAAGAATTGGAGGACAACTTCGACTTGGCCAGCTGGTGGGAGGTGGCCGAGCGGAGCAGTCCGCCACTTCCGCTGGCGCCGTAGTCGTCCGGCTCCAGCGTCTTGTCGCGATCCTCCTCATGCCGCCGCCTTCCAGCCGCTCGCTCCAAGATGTCCGAGTATTTGTTCTCCAACCGGGAAATGGCAGACTGCTTGCCTCCCGAGGAGGTCGCTGATGTGGTGGGCGTTCTGTCTTTGTCCAAGAGCAGATCTCTTCGCTGAAGAACCCGACGATTTCAAGGTAGGGGGATTGAGATTAAGATTCAGTTTCGGATTCACGGGTTTAATGGAAAAGGAAAGTGCTCCAAAGCAGCGCTCGTGTGAAACCAACGGTGACGGGCGTAAAACTTTTTACGCTCCACGTAAGAAGAAGGCCCAGAGACCGAAACTCAAGACCAGACCTAGACTTAGACCCCATTTAAATGGCCTTTTCGGCAATGACTAATTATGGGGTGCTTTTGGGCCTTTTCATTTCGCACAATTTCACTGCCATTAAAGGTGGCTTTCTCCACGTATTCTCTGCTTTTCAGAGAGGTGGAGAGGTGGCCGCGGGGGATACCCTTTATTTTTATTTAGAATGCCTAGCGAAATCTAAACAAAAAAGTCTACGGCGCGACGACCTTCAAAGTTTATATATATAGAGCGGCAGAAAATCGTGAAAATCATGAATAGCTTTATACACATCTGTGTGGCGTACAGAGAGATACAAATATAGCGGAATAGAGAAAAGCGCCGAGATGTTGGAATCGAAAATAAATTCGAAAACGTAAACGCACACGGCAAGAATGAAGCTGAAGATATAGAATCGGCCATATAGAAGCGCTATTAAACGCGCTCGTGTGGGCCCCTAATATAATATCTGCACATATATCTATCTATCTATCTATCTGTGTAGGAAGAAACTTTCTATAGGCATGTATGTGGCAATAGGGGTAGCGTTAGTGCAATACTGCTCATATACACTTATAGTATATCTATAAAGACCCCTTTAATTGCGCATATTTCCTCGTAAGACCGTCAGACATGTCACACATTTAGGGCAGTCACTCTTTCGCTGACTCATGGCCGACAGGTGAGATGATTTCTTTTGCTGTTTTCCAAAATGAAATGCCCAGGCTGTGAGTCACGGCTCCCGCTTTTGGGATCTCGATCTGGGAGGTCTGGAGGTCTGGGTGTCTGGGTCGCTTAAGTGGTTTGCACACCGCTCGCTTTTGGTTCACTTTCCAACGATTTCGCAGATACTAACATCGTCTAGGTCGCGGTCACGCCTTCCGCCGCCCAATCCTCGTATCAGTGGCTTGTAGTAACCACCCACGGGACTCAGGTGGGTTCGCAATCTGTCCAGGGCGTTGGCTGTGGTGGAGCTCTTCTGGTAGCGACCCATTAGGGCTGCAGTGCTGCTGCTACTCCCGCTGCTGCTGGGATGGTAGCCCAATCCCGTAGTGCTCCCGAGTCCTCCGCCCGCATAGTATCTTCTATGTCGATCGGCCATCTCGCGTTGCTTGTCTTGTTCCCTATCCCTGTCCCGTTCTCGTTCCCGTTCCCTTTCCCGTTCCCTATCCCCTTCCAAATGTCTACGACTGGTCGAAGATTTGTCCGAGCTGCGGCGACGTCGGTTCTGCGACTTCTGGGACTGATTACTGGATCCACCTCTTCCCTTGCTATTGTTGTTATTATTATTGCTGTCATTCGTTGGTGTCCAATCTTTGGGATCCTCGGCTATGGCTGCCGCACTTAAAAGAGAAGCCCAACAAAACAATCAGTTCTGGTGAGGATTGTACAAGGTTTTTTTTTCTTTGTCGGTCTGGATGCGTTCTATCCACGCGGTTCGCGACGAACGACGGACGGGACGCGCTGCCACGACACGGACCAAAATTTAACTGAGGAAAACTGGGGAAAATTTTTCGGAAAATTCGTGCGACGACGAAAGAAAGAGGCGGCAGATGCGAAGACCGAAGTAGATGAAGGAAATAATGATGCGGCGGTGGCGGCAGCGGCGGCGGTAGCCAGAAAATATTGAGGAATCGTTTTTATTTTTGTGGAAAAGTGTGAAAATATTGCGCACTTGCCAGAGTGAGAGGGAAACAGATAGAGAGAAGAACACCCAAATAACATATGTAGACGAGTGGGTGGTGGATTGTTGGATGGATAGTAGATTGGATGCGATTCGCCTCGAATCGGGGAATGCCTCTTTTGTCTGCCAGCTGGGCGATTTACAAGCGCACGCGAAGAACACGCTTCATCGCAATGCATTTCACTTTGTAACCCGTACAATTACATTTCCGTCAGGTTAGCAGCAAAACCGGGAAATGATCGAAAGTCTTCGCAGTAAAAGCCTTGAACTCTTGCCGACAAAAAAAAAATAAATAAAAACAACCAGTCAACAAGAAGAACAATAAAATTGCTGCTGGTTGAGCGCGGAAAATAAATAAAAAGAACAAAGCGAAAAACATTTTACGTTTTAATATAAACGTGCTCGCACATATAAATAATAAAGGAGCAATTGCAGTTAAACAAAGAGCAGCGAAAAAGAGAGATCGCATACTTTATAAACCCATGCGTAATGAGGAAGAAGAAATCGGCAGACATTCTACATCAAGTTGAAAACTAGAGAATTTATTTGGTATTCCCCGAAGACATCTGAAGAGAGGGAATTAAGGAATCTGCTATCGGCTGAAGAGAACCACTCGAAGAATGCAGAAACACAGCTGTGAAAGCTCTTCGGGGAAAGAAATCAAGCTTTTTTATAGCCAAAAACCAAAGTTTTTGCCGAAAATATTGAACTTTTGTTAGCCTTATAAAATACGTAAATTTTCGGGCAAACATTTCGAGGTTTTATGGAACTGCTGGAAGACATAAACATAAACCGATTTCCCATCTTGGCCAACAATCCTCCATTTCACTTTCAGGCTATTAATCAACCAGACAATTATTGACTCTTTAGATTGACAATTAGAGGTATCCAGTGCAAATAAGACTGATTTAAGAGCCGATTTTAAGCTCTATTTGATTTATGTCTGGCAATCAAAAGTAAAAATCAAATTTTGACTGGGGGCACCTCAAATCTCTTTTCTTCCCCCCCTGGGCAATTATTCACGATTTATGGCCACGAGATTTTCACACTTTTCGAGAGATCGTCGCACTACTGCTGGAAGTTCAGGTGCGAGTTCAACGCGATTAAAAACGCACTTTCAATCAAGCCATCCGTTTACATAATTGGCCCTCTTCTTCACGATGGCCAAAAGGCAGTTGGCCGAGAGATGCGAGATGGGGGAAATGCAATATATGCGAGACGAATAAAATGATCCGATCGCGAGATACTTTCGACCACGGAGTGACGACGCGGTGCAACTAAACTCGCAATTACGCGCTGACCACTCTGCTTAAATCAACAGCAGAGGCACAGAGAATGAAAACTCGCGAGGAAAATGAAAATAGAGGGAAAAACGGAAAAGCAATGTGAGCGAGTTTTGACCGAGTTTTTCGTTTGACGAAAGGCGACGAAAGTAAAAGAAGGCACGCAAAATTAAAAATAAATTATAAATCTTTTGCTTGATTTCTTTGCATCGATTACCGATTGCGTTGTTGCTGCTGCTGTTGCTGTTGATGTTGCTGCTGCTGTTGATGTTGCTGCTGCTGTTGATGTTGCTGCTGTTTATTATCAGGTCGTTCGCTCGGATTGCGTCGAAATCGCTGCAGCAGACTGTTGCAGCTTTCGGAGAGCAGCTGCGTGACGCTGGCGGCGGTGGCGCTCCTCATGTACCGCCTCTGAGGACGTGGTTGTTGTTGCTGCTGCTGTACCGCCTCCGCATCAGCTGGTTTTCCATTTTCCCCAACTGCGCCGCCGCCGCTGTGGGCAAAATCTTTTCGCTTTTTTCGCGATGAAAACGATTCAGAAATGTGGCCATTTCTTGGCTATTTCGTATCTCGGAAATCCTCTTCCCAGCGTTCGGGATTTCGCGTGGGTATAGCCCGAGATGTTGATGACGACAATCGGGCAATACTTAACGCCTCAAAGGGGCTGGTTGCCCGTCTGAATTTTTGGGTTTTTGGCGGATACGGATCGTGCTCTTCCGACTTGGTCTATTTCATTAATTGTACTGATTTCTGGTATTTGTTGGGAGCATGATTTTGTTGTAGACAAATAAAATAGAAATGTATTTATTGTACGTTCTCGGTGTGGAGATCTAGTATAGACAGAGCGTATTTATGTGTAAAAATAATTGAAATTGTAAGAGATTCGGCAGCTTCGACGGAAATAGACACACACCATCGCCGCCCCCGTCGCTATGGCGACAATTTCGATTTGAAGTTTGATTGAAACTGCATTTTAAAACCCCCATTCACACGCACTTAGAGCCATCCAATTTTATGGATATGATTAGAATTTCGTTTCCAATTTCCCAGGCGATTTCCACCGCACGATTTTCCTTCACCGATCGCCAATTGCCTGAGCATTGGTCTCGAAACAAACAAAACCGAAATCAGCGCAACATGAACGAAAGCGCACGCCACAAATACTAATTATAAAGATTGAAAATATCGGCGATGTCGAGAACCCCGAGGAGCACGGCCGTAAGATCCGCGGGAGAGCTGAACTGAGTGTGCGCTATTATTGTTTGCTGCGACCGAAGGAAGCCAAAAAAACTAACAGCCAAAGATCAGGTATGAATGTATACCCTAACCCAGAAAATCGATTCCAAATATAGCAGATATGAGGTCAAAAACTGTCGAAAATATGCACATCAATCATAATATTTGGTTTAGGGTAAGGTGTTTTGGGAAGTTCTCTTGAGGATCAGGGTATTTGGTAGTCGAGTGGTTCAGTCATTTCAGTCGGAGAGCGCGAGAGCAGGTCGTGAGTATTACATATTTTTAGACATTCGGTTCTGCTGAACGCGCTCCGTGTTGTTTAGTGTTTTTTAATTATTAAAACAATTACATTGGGGTCGCAGTTTGGCAATAAATTAGTGTTAAACAAATGCTTTGCCTGGAAGCAGTTAGAAATATCGAAAAAATTATTGAAGCGCTGAAATCAAGTAAACAAACATAAATTAAGTAGCCAGAGGAGAGACTATTTTTAGAGACCTTTCCGCTAAGGAAATTGACATTGAATTTCCCGCAGTCTTTGGTCGATTGTGCAATGTTGTCGATGTCGACAAGTGCAAGAGCCTGCCAAAAGGCCAAGAGATCGGTGTAGACGCCAAGGGGACCGAGATTCTAAGGTTGGAGGTAAGCAATAAATGTGCTTCTGTTCTTGGGAACGCTTCACACTTGAAACGCCACCCAAAAGTACAGGAAGTACAAACTTGGGGGCCAAATAAAAAAAAAAGAAATTAGCAAAGCAAAGGCCTTTTGGAGCCCAACGATGAGTCAGCCGGCTATTTTTGGGGAAAACTTTCTTTGGAAGCGTAGCATGTTGTTAGTGGCATTTTTCTTTTCTTTCTCTTTTTTTTCAACAAACACATGTGCAACACGAACACAAGACAGAAATAAGTTTGAGGAATAGAATCTACCTCGATGAAATGCAGTCCCAATGCGGACTTGGACATCTCATTCTGCTGCTGCTGTTGATGTGGTTGGTGTAGCTGCTGGCTTGAGTGATTGAATATGACAGAATTGCTTTGTTGTAGCTGCGATTGCTGCTGCTGTTGCTGTGCTGTTGCGGTTGCTGCGGTTGCATGTTCGATGACGATGACGCCGGCGACGCGTAAAACAATTGCGTATTTGTATTTGGATCGTATTGAAGCCCAGAGGCACCGCCATTTCCTCCACCTCCTCCGCCTCCACCTCCAGCGGAAGCATTCAGAAACTGCGTATGCGGATGCGGTTGCTGCTGCTGCTGCTGGTACTTGACCGGCTGCATCTGATTCGGCTTGGGATAGGCATACGGATCGAAGGTCTGCAGCGGCTTGCGCTCTGGCTGCTTGGGCACATTATAGTAATTCCTACTCATCATGCCCAGCCCAAAGCTGGAATGCTGCTGGGGGTGTAGCTGCTGCTGCTGTTGCTGCTGATGTTGCTGGTGGAACTGCAGGGCCGTCGGCCTTTGGGCGGAGCTGAAGGAGGCCGAGTGCGTCAGTGGGGCCCCAGCGGTGCGGGGGTAGCCAATCTTGGATGGAGGCTGCTGGGCGGCTGGTAGCCATACATCTGGGGCATCATGCCGGGCGGTTGTGTGCTGCAGTGGCTGGCCAAACTTGTTCTCCTTGTTGGTGTTCTTTTGCAGGAACATGGCAAGTCCCGATTTGGGCGCCTGCTTTGGCACATGCGAGGAGGAGTACGACTGCTGCAGCTTGTGGGGCAGGTGCGCCTGCTGCTGCTGCTGCTGATGGGCAGGCATGTGTTGCTGCTGCATGAAGGGATCACTTGCTCCGTTCATGGCGGAACAGGCAAAACTATTCCAGTTGAGGAAGGGTCGCTTGTGCTGGGGATACTGCTGCTGCTGCTCCTGATGTGATTGCTGCTGGTAGTGTTGCTGCTGCTGCTGCTGTTGCAGCAAACGCTGGTAGCCACCCATGGGCAACTGTGAGGTAGAGTTGGATTTGCCTATGGGATAGCAAATCCTTTGTTGCTGCTGCTGTTGTTGCAGCAACGGCTTCTGCGGATCGTAAAGCTGAACTGGCACGGGGATCTGAGATTCACCCGAGTATTTGCTGGTACTGCTGCTCGTGGGGCCTTCGACTGCACTCTTCGGGTCTTTGTGCTCGCCAGTCGTCAGCGACTGCGACATGATTGCATTATTATTGATGTTACTAGTGCTATTGCTGTTGTTGCTGGTCTTCAACTTTAGCATGTCGTTCAGGCATTTTTCTAGCTTGTTGTCAACATCTTTCTGGCGCTTTGTGGCCGCTGACGACGATGACGATGTTGGCACCTCCATGTTGGCAGTCCCTGCTGCGCTACTTTGGTGTTGCTGCTGCTGCTGCTGATCGCTTGTTGTTGTGGTTGGTGATGTTCCTGTTGCCGCTGTGGTTGTTGCTGTGGTGGGCGCAATATGGAACGATGAGGTAAACTTGGAGAGCTGCGGCAGGTGGGTGGTGCAACAGTTGGTCACCGTAAAGCTGCTCGTGCTTATCGTACTGTTGCTCTTCTCCGATTTGCGTTCCAATGAAGCGGAATCCCCAGGTCCGACTTCCTCGATGGGCGCTACCTGTTGGGGTTTTTGAAGTGACTGTTGATGTTGCACCTGCTGAGGATTGTTATTTTCCTGCGGACGACGGAAAAAGGCGGCGGCACAGCGTGGCGAAGGGACGCAGGAACTACTGGAGCTCTTCAAAACACCACTGGGCTTACTAACAGCCGATGGAGGAGCAGCAGCTGGTGGTGCCACCTTAAGTGGCTCCTTGGGCGGAGGTTCCTTTCGTGGTTGCGTCATGAGTATCGCAGAGTTTGAGGTGCTTCTGCTCAACGAGGGAAGATTCTTCATATAGCAGGGTATGTGAGTGCGACTGGAAGTCCGAAGCAGAGGAGCTCCCATGTGTTGACCACCACCCGGCACATGGGTCATGGACATGCTCTTCGGGAGCACCTGCTGCTGGCTGGGATTGGGCTGCTGTTTGACCGGCACTCTGCTTACAAAATTCGTCCCACCCGACGGAGATTGCTCGTTACAGATCAGCTTGTAGAGATCATCCTTGGTCACCGCCTGGCGCACCTTTAAATCCAAATGCGACATCGATGCATTCTTCTGGAGCTGGTGGGGATGATGTTGAGGCACCTGCGATGATTGCTGAGGACGCTGTAACTCCTTCTGCGCCGCCTCGGCCACCGTGGGATCGAATATAGCCAGTTTCTTGGCCGTCTTGGCATCCACTTTAAACGGCTGCCCGGCATCACCCAACTGGGCTCCACAGATCTTCTCGTAGTTCCAAAAAGTTCTCTTAGGTGTTTGCCGCTTTTGTGAACTTGTAAGATTCTCGCTCCAGAATTCGTTCATCAACTGTTTGTTAAGAGACAAATTGGAGCCACTTTGCAATCCATTTTTGGTGGGCAGTGGACGCATTGGAGTCGGTGTACTTAGCGGCATATTCGAGCTGGAAATACTGCGCTGCAGCTTGGGTTCACCTCCGGATTGTGAAAATATAGAAGGATAGGCCATACGTGGAGCAGGTCCCCGACTGCTGGGATTCTGTGCAAAGTTAATTGACGAGGACTTGGATAAGCCCGAGGACATGGCCATTCCTGCTCCTGGTGCAGTCTTCGTCACCGACTGCTGCGAATTGGACTTGGCCAGCGGCTGCTGCTGGCGCTTGATCCTGTCGTAGAGATCTTCGCACTCCTGGAACTCCTGGTGCAGCTTTCTGTCCAGCTCGCTGTAGTCGGGCAGGCTCTTAAGATACTTGTTCATCATCTCGATCTCGGCATCGTAGAAATTCGCATCCAACTTGGCGCTATTAGTGGCTGCCGCCGACTTCTCCTCCAGATCCTGTTGCTGTTTAGTAACCTATCCAGACTGATTTCGTTGGCGGGAGGCGGAGCAGCTGAAGCCACAGCAGCAGCGGGTTTATTGGCATTCTTTGGAGCTCGACATGGCACTGGAGGTGGTGGAGATGACGAAGGTGAACTGCAGGAGGACAGGGATATACTCGAAGCCGGGCTCGAGGCAATGGTGGTCATTAAACGAGAGGGCAATGCCGCTGCCGAGGCACTGGTAATCGTTCCCGTGGCTGCATTGTACGCCAGTGGATGGTGTTTCCTTGGTAGCGGTGGCGTAGATTTTGGACTCGCCGGCAGCAGAGGTGGACGACTCTTCCGAATGGCCATGGTGAGGAGATGGGTGAACGCACGGCGCACTTGCTCTCCGGGATGCTGGACGACAGCACCGACGCGAACTGCGGCGAACCACCTGGAAGAACTGCTGGCCACTGCTGACCGGCGGAGGCGTTGGTTTCTGCATGGCTGGTTGGGATTCCTCTTTAGTCTTAGGTTTGTGATTGGGCGGAGGAGGAAACCGCTGCGGGCACTGTAATTGCTGGCTTGCCGGCATCTTCACTCATCTATAGGAAACAATCGCGCACTGTGAACCGTTTGGGTTCTATGAATTAGAGATCCGATTTCAGATGAATCCGTTGAATCAGCTTATTTCAGATTTTATCGCGGTTTTGATGTGATGTGTGTGTGCGTTTATTCATGTTTAATTGAATCTCTTAGGAAAACCTTTCCATTTTCCTATACCTATCCCTTAAGTGTTTAAATGGATCCTAACCTATCGAGGTAAATTCTATTAAACAGATTTCGAACAGAACACAGAAGGAGGGAGACACCAAACACCAGACGAACTAAGGACACCACAGAGCGATCACCAACACGACGACGACCAACCTGCAGATACTGCTCCGGTATCTTACTGTTCTTCGGCACAATGATCTTCTTAATGATGATGATCTTGTCCCCTCGATCTTGGTAATTGTGATGGGAACACCGGGCATGGGACGCTGCGGCTTAACAGGCATCGGTTGCTTGGGGCATTTCGGATCACTTGAGGTCCAGTGAGGATGCCACCAGGACTTGGCTTGCAGCTGGAGGAGCAGGCTTGGGTTTCGGTTTCTGGGCAGGCACATGCTCCTTGTGGTCGCTGCGCACAATTGAAAAGTGGTACAGTGGCTTATCATCGTCCAGAATGCTCTTCTGCGGCACTATTTTCTTCTCCACTCGACGGAGAACGACTCCCAGCATGGGCGACTCCTTCGGCTTTATGGTTATGGATCCGCTGGGAGCGGTCACCCGCTTTAGGCTTACTCCCAGATTGGTGCCAACCGGGGGAGGTGTCTTGGTGCGGTGCACCATCTTTCCGCTGGGTATCTCACGATAACCATCATCCATCCTCCTCCGACGATGATCTTCTTCAAATTGTTCTTGAACCTTTGGATCGGGATTGGTATGTAGAGATGGTTCGGGTGCCACCAATGGCGAGGGTCCAGGAAACATCGAGGTGAGGCTGCTCCGCCGTCGGTTCATCACATTGGGCGCTGATACCGTCTTGGTGAGCGGAAACTTGGTTGCCTGTGGAGGAGCAGGTGCCACAGGTGGTGCTTCCATCCCGGTGGCACTGGAGGTACTGCCTCGTCGACTGGCTGCCTTACTGGGCTGTCTTGAAGCCGAGGCACTGATGCTGGCCGAATCCAAGCTGCTCATGCTGGCTGAACTCTGGAGGCGATCGGGAGCAGCGCTCCTTTCGTGATTTCGATCTGGCGAAATGGATCGCTCTCGGGTACGCTTTTGGGATCTGGCATCTCGAGCAGCCCGCTGCATGCGCAGCAACTCAATAGAGTCGGCCAGGTGGGAGGTGCTCTTCTTGGGCGGGAATCATCCCTGGACGAGGCCTTGGCTGGGATACGCTGAGTAGGTGCATCTCCATGGCATCGTCAATGTTGCTGGGTAGCGAGCAATGCGTTCTCTGGGACCTGAATTGGATGGAAGGGCACCTTTGGCCAGTTCCTCTTCTTCCTCGTCATCTTCCTCATCCTCATCCTCCTCTTCCTGAGCCTGATCTCTAACTCGCTGCTCCTCCGCCTCCTCCTCCTCTTGTTTTCTGCGTTTCTCACTCTCCATCACCCGTTGCAGTTGGGCCTGCACCTCGAGGGCAGCACGTGCTCTGGCCTTCGACTCGGCCTCGCGGGCCTGTCGCAACTGTTCCTGCGCAATAGCCCGAGCTTCCGCCTCCGCCTGCGACCGAGATCTTGCCTCAGCTTCGGCAGCGCTGCGGCCGTAGGGTGGCCAAATCCGTGGCCGTCATCTGCTTTATGCTCAGGCGACGTTCCGTGTTGAGGATCAACTCCACCTGGGTGCTTCCGCCCGCTGGCTTTTGGGCCGTTAGATCCGGACAGCCAAGGGCGATCAGTTCACTGAGTTCGTTGGACATTCCGTAGGCTGGGGGATGTGGTGATCTCTCCGGAACCTTGTCAGTTTTCTATCTTTCTGGATCCCAAGGGGAAAAAAAGTACTCGATTATCTAATATTGCACTGGCAATTCCCTCGAATTGCGTTGGGTTTGACTAGCTGGGCGAGACTCGCGAGGCTGTCAACGCTGGCCCCAAAGGAAACCTGCGCAAAATCGGATCAGTTCGTATTTAGTTTTATTCGGATCGTATCAGATCGGATCGGAACAATCGATCGCACGCTCAATGTCAATGTCTCATTGGCATTTTGGCAAATGCCCGACGACTTGACTTACTAATTGTACCAATGGTCGGTCGTCATTCGACCAAAGACTTTTCCTTTTGGCGCCCATATACATCCGACATATGTATATGAGGGTACAACCGTATAGCATATATAGCACCCCCCAATTTGTTTTGGTATATAGAGCACAGGGCATATACAAACTACAAATCGTAAACAGCAATGAGCTCATTGATCGCGGCGCCGCCTCACCTAAACCAGAAGAAAACCCCTTACCCCTTTGCGATTCTAGCCAAAAGACCTGCACCTTGCCCTAGATATATTGCGATGTGAAAATATATATGAATATCCCTGGAGAGATCGTTTTGGCTGATGTGTGATATCTCGGTGGGGTTCATTGGGCATCTTTTCGCCCCTGTCTTTCTGTGTTCCGTTCGAAATCTGTTTTTATTTTTAACAAATAGACGACGACGCACATAAATTGGCGCAGCCGGGCGGTTATACCTAGTACACAGTACGTGTGACGCTAGTGCCAGCGGTACAGTGAAACCTCGGCCAGCCATGCTAATTGAATTCACGCGCTTAATCCCAAAGAGATACATCTCTGATCTTTGATAGTCACATTCGGCTTGATTGCATTTTTAATTCACTTTTAGATTTCCATTAGTTTTGCGATCTTTGTTGATCTCTGGCTTAGCTTTCACTGTACCGAAGGAAAACGCGCACACACATGCGAGTTGGAAAAACCTAAGGGGGAAAAGTTTTCCACCCCAGTTGACTTTTATTTTGGTTCGCATCATCTGGCCAAAAATTGTATCATGTACAAGTTTGTATCTTGGATTTTCGCTATAAGTTTGTTATGGCAACTAAATATAAATGCAAGCCTTACGAAAATAGCTTTCGAAAATTATAGAAAACGCCAGCTAAGCGGAAAGTGGAGGATAGAGGATGGAGGGCAGCAACGGCGGAGATCAACATGATGATGATGTGGCAGCCTGATGAATAATCCCCGCCGATCTGTGGCGCACATATATATACAAAGATATATAGTTATAGTTTGTATCTATGTGGCACACACGCACACTAACGGACACACACGTGTGTGCTCCATTTGTTAGTTTTGAGTTTTTGTTTTGATTTGCTTGGCCGCTGCGTTGTCTTCTTCTCCTTCACCTCCGAGTACACAGAAAAAATAATTGATATATTTATCATATCATTTTTAACGGTCCTTAAAATATAGTAACATTTTAAGGCTTTCATATAAATTACAGAACTCTTTTATAGGTAGAGATCAATGATGTGGAATAATCAATATTAATTTAAATCTCTTTAAATTCCAAATGATATCAATTTCTTTCTGTGCATCCGAGTGAGTGACTGTTGCATTATCCTCCTCTATCCATCCGCTATTTCTATTAAAAGTATCTTTTGCCCCGCTAATTGCAAACTTGATGGAAAAGTGCAAAGTTCACTATCAGCATTTTGGACGTTTCACAGCTGCTCATCTGACTGGCTCATCATATTATCCCATTTTATATTATTTCTAATTATTAACTCGCCGCCGTTGACGGGGGGTCAATAAAACAGTTTGGCTCTGGTATCTTGCAACGTGTTTTGTTTAAACAAATTAAGTCTGCCGAAGAATATCGCGCACTTTTTGTATTTAACACTCTTTGTGTTTTGTTTGATGTTTTTTTTTCGTTTTGGGACCGCTGCTACTGTTTTATTTTTAAAACACTTAATTGTTCTTTTAGTTTTTGGGTTGTTTTTTGTTCTTTCGGCTGATTATGTCACGGTGCCCAGCAATTGTTTTGGGATTGCGTTTCTTTCTACCTTCTCCTCTCGGGCCAAAAATGCGTTTCTATATTGCACATACGCCCAGTATGTACCTCTAAATATTGTTCTATTCGATTATTTGGTGTTCCTGAGACAAAAAAAAAATACCAAAAACACAAAAACGCACACACACCATACACTAAATATCGGGTAAACAAAGTGCGCGAAAGGAGACGACGACGACGATCGATTTAAAGATCGGTGGAACTGTGGGTATAAAAAAGAGAGCTGCGGCGAGGACAGGGGGATCCCCGTACCGTTACACGACGAAGACGAAGCGACGACAATATTATATAGTTTATATGGCAGCAGTGGCGGCGACACACAGCCAACAAACGAAGATTTCAATCTGTTTCGGTTTCCTCAAATTTGAAAATTCTCAGCCGAAAACTGCCCGCGGCAGAGAAGAGCGCGCAGACTTTCAACGCCGCGTGTATTTATAATTTTCCAATGGTTTTTTCGAGCAAATGGCAAACACAAACGGATCAAGAAAATGTTTTCCACCGGATGAAGCTGCGCGCGCATCTGCGAGAAGGAACCATCAGCTGTGCACCGTGGTTTCGAGGAGGAACATGCGCACAGCATGGAGAGGAATCCCCAAGGCGTCGCTCTCAGGAACCGATAAATGTATATATGAGTGCATATATACAGGGGAGTATAGACAGGGCGCGTGAGCCCCGTGTAAATTCGGTGTATATAGCTGCGGTCAAAATAATAGCATTGCCAATAAATCATAGGTATCATAATTTCCAGTTTTAACTTGTTCAGTGGAAGAAATTCTGGGAATAGAGTTGAGTCGATCAGGGGGATCAGGGAAACGCTAACTAATCTAAACAAATAAATCCTTTTTCAAATATTTTACAAAATAATACTAAATTTAGTTTTTAACATATAAGGATCTATAAGAAATGGCTTTAGTAACATCTATTTATATGTGTGACATAAAACATACTACAGTTGTTAATCCTCAACTAAACATTTATAAACCAAGTCTCAAGCAGTGCTATTATTTTGGTTTAAAATGTAAATTTCAGTATAGGATTAAAGAGAGGAAGGGCCGCGACCATGCAACACAACACAACGAAAGATACTCGCCGACAATCTCTGAATCTGAATTTCAGAGTGACTCACTAGATAGTCGTCATTGTGGTCCACAAAGTACTCATCGACGATCCAATTGTCGCCGGCATACTTGTCGACGGGCATATCGCAGAGGGCCACCAGATCGAAGTGGTTGCGCTGCCGCTTGAGCATCAGGCAGCGGGTTATGGCCACGCTCTCTCCATCGCCATCGGGGAAACCCTCCTCCTCCTCCTGCTGCTGCCCATCCAGATCCGTTTCCAGGCCACAGCCGTTTGCCGCCGTTTTCGCCCCATTCCGGATGATGAGCTGCTGCTCCAACTGCCTAAAATACTGAATCTTGGCGGCTCTAAACGATGACGCGTAGTGGAATTCTATGCGAGTTACTCAGCCCACTTAATTGGCGGCGACATGGGCAACTGGCAAAGCTGGCGAGGAGCAGTCGGCATCATCCGCAGCAGCAGAACCAGCAGCAGTATCTCATCTCATCAGATCTCAGAGCAGAAAAGAAAACTCTGGCCGTCGTCAACGAGTTAATGTCAAATGATCAATTGAACGAAAATAACTAGAGCAGCGGGGTGTGTTGGGCACAGGGGGGAAACTATAAAGAACCACCAACAGTGAATGGGAACTATAACGATCTCGCTTAATTAAGAGTTGTTTTTCATACGCGAAGATTGCATAGAAATTGCTTAATTTCCACTTTTATATTGCCAAGGTTTCGCTTAACTGCTCTATATAAGTTTCATTTTATTGCTGATGAATATCACTTAGCTGTGTTGCTTCCAACAAAAATTAATATTCTTCCTTAAGTTACTTTTAATTATTAATGGAATAACTACTGCGTGAAGTGTTTTTAATAGTATGAGTTCATGGTTCATTACTTAAGAAGGTTATCATGACCAATTAAATGGCCTTTCTATAAATAACAAATCAAATATTGATTCATATATATAACAACTATATTTCCCCATGCTCTAATTAAGTTTTCCGTATTTCAACACATTTTAATGGCCTTGCTCAACCAAGTTAGTTTATTATAAGTACTATCTTATCAGCAACAACATACAACTCATGCTGCTCCCTGAGTTCTCAAGTGCCCTGCCCCCTTGAAACCCTGCGAAACAATTATTTCCATATTCAGTTGCACTCACATTCCGGAATACTGATTACAATGAATTCCTCATGTAATCACTGTACCACACAAGACCAAGAACCAGAGCAATGTGACACATCTAATGACAAATTTAGCTCAACGCCGCATAGATAAGAAAGGAGAGAGCGGTCGAACGATGGTGATAGCGCGCTGATCACTTGACTGATCCACTTGACTTGTAATCGAGAATAGGGGGTACAACATTCACACACATCTGGGGAGCGATTGGGTTAGTGGGGGTGGGGTTGAGGGTTCCAGAGATAAGAAAGCATACCGTCTGCAAGGGGACACGCTTACTAGATAATCGCTGTCGTGATCGGCAAAGTATTCTACAACTATCCAATCCTCGGTGTATGGCATGAATCGCAGCGCACAGCTGGCCAGGATCAGATCGCGACAGTGATCCACGACCGGTGGCGCTGGCAGGTCACGCATCTTGATGTAGCACGGGATCTGGGAGCTCTCGAAGTTGTCGGCCACCTGCTGCGACCTCTCAAGATACCGCTTGAAGAACAGCATGGTTGGGGGCACTACTAGCACTACTGATCAATCGAGCGGCACAGCTTTTGGCAATGCACAGGGTTGGAAACGCAGGCGGTGGTTAGTTAACTAAAATCGGTCCGATGTATTCGTATATACATAGTATCTGTATCTGTCCGCACTAATTTGTTCTTTTACCATTTTGTTTTGCTATTAGCTTTCGCTTTTTAGTTTTTAGTTCTTAGTTTGTGATTTTCTTTTTTCGGTTTTCCTTTACTTTTCTTTTTTTTTTCGTTGCCCTGCCTACAATTTTCACTTGTTTGCTATGTGTGGTGTATTATAAAATGAAAAGTTTTTACCTTAGCCTGCGACTGGCGGTTGTTGCGTCCGCTGTCGCGCTCGTCCTTGGCGCGATCACGATGCCGGCGACGGGAGCTCGAGTGGGAGGTCTCGTCCCTGTAGCGATACTTGTGCTGCCGCCGACTGGCGGCTGGGGATTGCGATGCGAGCGCTTCGAACGCT